TTATAATTTTACTTTATCTTCAAGCTCGTGGTTCGAGTTAATTTATTCCACTATCTGTTGTTGAAACAAAAATTCATCATCTTGATTTAAAAATACAAGCTAAGTTGGTTAACCACGCATATTCTGAAAAACTTCAGTGGCTAGTGTTGGGAGATTTTAATATTCCGTCTGTCAAAATCGAGGATGTGATGTCAAGCCGCTCAGATGATCAACATTTGTTTGAACTAGGGAATGAGAATTGTCACAGATAGTCGCCACCCCTACTCATAAAGTGTGGTAATTTTCTTGATCTGGCCTTCTTTTCCAATATTGATCCTTGGGGTTACCAAATATTGTTCTCCACTATTTTCTTTGATCATTATCCTATCATCCTTTCGCGTAATGCAGAAATAAACGAGAGAAATTTTGGCAACACAACTCAATTTTCGGTCAACTCCTTTCATCACAAAAAATTTAGACTGTTTCTTGAATTCGACAATCATATATGAAATATGCATCGCTATAATTAAGAAGCTTTCAGTTTCATCGATACGTAAGAAGTTTTCAGTCGACATCTTCCTTTTTATTATTCTTCTCTAACTGTACATGAGCTTAACAAGCTGGAAACAACGCGGCGTGGCAGAAGTGCTCTGAAACAATTGCATGTTTTTGAAGCCAATGTAAAAAGTTTTTTAGAATTAGATGAAACAGTGCTTCTTCAGAAAACTGGTTTTTTTGACAACCAAGGAAGCTTTTCCATTATTTAAAACCTTGAACAGTGCAAAAACGTTTCCCTCAATTATATATTGGGATGACAATAACGCTAATAATGATTTTGAGAAAGTCAAATTGATCAACCAACTGATTCGCCCAAAATTTTTCTTAAAAAATTGACGTTAACGTTAAGATTATAACAAAGTATCTTGCCGCAGTTCCTAATAAAGGTTTCAGTGTCTGTGGTAAAATTCCAAGTTTTGTCTGCAACCGCAACTCAGTTTACATGGTCCCATTCGTCTATCTTTTATTTAGAGGAATCCTTGATTCTTGTTCTCGGCCCAATTTTTGAAAAACTGCACATATATCTCCAATTCATAAAGAGGAGCACACAACTTGCCAATCTCGACTTTACCACGGTTGTCGTTAATTTTTCTCCCAATCTCGATTTTACCACGGTTGTCATTAATTTTTGAAAGATTTTTATTTAATTTTATCTATGATCAAGTAAGCCTTGAACTTAACAGCAAGCAACATGGCTTTCGCTAAGGTCATTTTTGTATTACGCAAACCCTGACTTTTTTGATAAAGTCTATTCGAACTTCGACGACAATGTGGAGCAACTGGTGTTAAATCTCGACTTTAAGAAAGCATTTGACTCAGTGTCGCATGCCATCCTCCTTACAAAACTCTCTTTAATCGGTTTTGACAACGGCTCTTTGCTTTTATTCAGATCGTACTCAGTGAAAATTAATGGAGCCTTGTCAAGCATTTTTTCTGTTACAAGCGGAGCAACACAGGGCAGTGTTCTTGGACCTTTACTCTTCCTGATATTCATCAACGACATGTTATATTTACCCATGAACTCGCTGTACTATTGCTTTATAGATGATACTAAATTTAAGTTCCTTTCCATTGTTTTAAGCAATATGCAGGCAGATTTAGATGTTCTAGGATTATGGTCGTCCGATCATGAGCTGAATTTCAATGCATCAAAATGCGGCTCGCTACCAATTGGCCTTAAACATCGCGCTCCACTGTTTCTGGCAATAACGAAGTCTCATTTCTTGATCACAGGACTGATTTAGGCCTTGAATCTACTAGCATCTTAAAATGGAACTTCCATGCTAGATCTATGTGACAAAAAATGGAAGGCTTTTAATTACCTTCGGCACAGTGTACCTATAAGTATTCCGCGAAACCTAATATTTAACGATCATGCGTGTTATCAGTTTTGATGTATGGTTACCCTGTGTGGTTCTTAGACAATACGACTCTCCAAACGTTTGAGAATTTCAACTCTGGAACACAGGGCAGTGTTCTTGGACCTTTACTCTTCCTGATATTCATCAACGACATGTTATATTTACCCATGAACTCGCTGTACTATTGCTTTATAGATGATACTAAATTTAAGTTCCTTTCCATTGTTTTAAGCAATATGCAGGCAGATTTAGATGTTCTAGGATTATGGTCGGCCGATCATGAGCTGAATTTCAATGCATCAAAATGCGGCTCGCTACCAATTGGCCTTAAACATCGCGCTCCACTGTTTCTGGCAATAACGAAGTCTCATTTCTTGATCACAGGACTGATTTAGGCCTTGAATCTACTAGCATCTTAAAATGGAACTTCCATGCTAGATCTATGTGACAAAAAATGGAAGGCTTTTAATTACCTTCGGCACAGTGTACCTATAAGTATTCCGCGAAACCTAATATTTAACGATCATGCGTGTTATCAGTTTTGATGTATGGTTACCCTGTGTGGTTCTTAGACAATACGACTCTCCAAACGTTTGAGAATTTCAACTCTGCTGGTTTTAAATGGTGCTACGGGTCCAATTCTTACATCTATTTGCTGACTTTACTTAATTCATTGCCAATATGCTAACAACTAATTGAACGAGATCTCAGGTTTTTCTCTTCTTGTCAACTTGGGAAAAAATGCCGAAATTTCAATAGTTTCATTGAGATTCAGCAACCTACTCGGTCATTACAAAACACCCACTTCATGAGGTTGAAGCCGCAAAAACCCTCGAAAAATCTCACTTCAAAGTTGAGATGTCCGCACAATACTATAGACTCATCAGAAGTGCCAAACAGGCAGATTCGGATCTTTCTTAACAAATTATGCTCATCTAAATTTAACTTAGACGTTTCTTAAACGTGGTCTTTGAAATGCCGATTTTCTTTTAGTACATAATGTTGCAACAAATTTTGACTGTACTTTTGCTCATTATTAGTAATTCGCCAAGGAGTAAATTGAAGTTTTTTTTTTTACTAAAACTACTGACTACTACTAAAACGACACTCAAAAATTGAACATCAATCGAACATTTTTAGCGAAAAAAAAATTCGAACGCAATAATCTGCATACATCTACATATTATCCACGAACGATAAAATACTAGTAAAATAAAATAGTACGACAGAAAAATCAATATTGCTAATTTTCGCTGTTTAGTGGCAAAGTTTCAACGAAAAAAAGTCTAGGGTACGGTAGCACTACCCTTGCTTGCGTCAAGAGGTAGTTCAAATAACCAAAAGAGTAGTTTGAATAAGTGCCAATGATTTAGGAAACCGAATTATTTGGAATTTTGAAAAAAAAAACGCATCACATCAAAGCGGAATTTCAAGAATCTTTTATGATTGACAGTTTTTACATAAAACTATTTCAATAAGATCAAACTGGGTCAATAGGAGTTTTAAAGTCTATAATTTATTCTAAAAATTGAAATATACATTCGACCTTGAGGTCACTCACGTTTTTTGCGCCATTTGCATTTTCGTAATTGGAGCGTAACACTTTCCTTTCAGTAAATGAATTGGAAATTCAAACGAAATTATAAACCATTGAGCGTTAACAAACTGAAACTGAGACTTAATCTTGAAAAAAAACACACTGCCTATTTAATTGTCCTCATCTTGTTCATTGACACTTAACAATAAAACGTAAGCAAATAAATTCCTATGAAAACTTGAAGCAGCAGTAGTTTAATAAGAGTATTAACTTCAATTTTTACGCTTATACCATATGCCATTTAAACAGCAACTAGAATAAATTACTAAGTCTTGCAAGATTGTCGGGATAAACTATTAAGCAAAATCGTGCATAATTTATTTCAGCAAACTGCCTATTTACAAAACTTCAGGAAAAAATAATCGTTCAATAAATTGCTTTTTACTGTTGAACTCAGGCTGCTCTACTTTTGAATTCAAAATGCTCTCAGAATTTAAAAAACGCTTGAGAAGATTTTTTGAAGACTTCACATCGCAAACCCAAGCAAATGCTCTCAAAATGAAAAACAAAAATATGCCAGGAAAATCTTTTAGCAGACTTGAAGATTAAGAGTCACTGGCCTTAATAGCTTCGCCATACGAAGTTCCTGAACTATGAATAAGAGCAGTACAGAATACGTCTAAATTCAACTAATTGCCGATATAGCTCGTTTAATATACAAATGACAAACAAACTAAACGGCGAGGGTTTCTTGAGTAAAAAGTGGTATTGTTCCAAAATATGCATATCTAAACAGGTCTGCTGGCTGCGTATCATAGCCTCAAACAACATTTATTGCACCATCAGTTTATCGACAATTGAGCAGGTAGAGCATTTTATGTTCATGGGTCTCTTTATGAATGGTCGAGTGGTGTTCACAAGATTACCGAGAATTTCTTCACCATAATCGTACGTTCAAGATTCTAGCAAGCCATGACATCCTTAATCATTACGCCAAATTCTGGGCGAGAACAAAGATATGCCTTCTCAAAGACACAAGAATACTGAGAATGATGAAACCTATGGAAGAAATTAGGAGAACAGGAACATTTCCTCCAGAAATTGATAAAATTTAGGCCATAATAAAAATTTGAAAAAAATAATGACCTCATGGAACTGACCGTCCAATGGTAGCGAATTTAAGGAGATGAGGGATCCCTTAGCAACTCGAACCCTTGACCACCCCCTTTGTTACTATTTTATGACATCCATTTATCGCCGCCCAACCCTAAAAACTTAAAAGGCGCCAAATTCTACTAATTTTGAGGATGAAGCGCGTGCCAAACAACGCAATTTTTGTTTAAACTGTTTCAGTCGCGTTTTTAGCCTGTTTTTTAAACCTTTGCCTGCAGCGCAAAAAAAATTGTCAAAACGGATCGATATTGTTTGGGGAGAGCTCGGAAAATCAATTTGCGGACCTATCAAAACTTGTAAGAAATCCGCACCCCTCGAGAAAATTCTAATACCAGGCCTGAGTATGGTTGCTCCTCTGTAGATATAGGTCAACTCAGTGCTGAAAAAATTGGTTTTAACTTAATCAATTGTTCAATTAAATAAATTCACTAGTTTACCGAAAATAAAAACAACGCCACTCACTTATTTCAAATTTCAGTTCATCCAATCAAATCTCATCCGAAAACCAAGTCCAAGTTTTTATTTTTTCGTTCCTTTTCCAGTGGCCTTTTTAGCAGTCGTCTTTCCACCTTTACCGCCTCGAGAACCTCCTGAAGCTTTACCCTTCGATGATGCTCCTCCCGTACTTGACGTTTTCGGCACTTTCTTAGAAATCAATCCTGGTATGAAATCGTCATCTTCATCATCCTTACCATCCACTTCGTTCTTTCCAGCAATAGTTCCTTCTTCTCCCTCGCCAGGAAGCAATCCGCTCTCTTCCGTATCTCCTAATTTTCTCTTTTTAGGCACCGAATTAGCGTTGGCACTTTTGAATGACTGCTTATTATACAGTCTCGTAAATGCCGACTTGTTTTTAGTGCTCACGCGTTTCCAAGGATCTTCATTTTCGCTCATTTGACTCATCGAAAAAATTGTGTCCAAATCGTCACGAGTTAAGTCAAGACCAAGCAATGTGTTCACGCCGTTCTCAATTCCGTTTTCTTGATCAGAGTGCAAACAGTCGACAAACTTCTTTCGCAAAACGGGCATTATCTGCATGTTCAAATCCTGTTTTGAGGCGTTAAAATGAAGGCGGGTGTGCACTTGCAGATCCTGAAATAAATACATTTGTTTATTAGTTAACATTTCGTGGGCATGATGAAAAAAAATGGGATTTTTCTTCAAGTAAACAGTCAATTGTGTCAAGTATAGCATCATATTAAAAATTTTCAGCCTTGATTTACAATGCATTCCAAATTACCGGATTTTTTTGTCGAATTTGGAAAGGATTTGAAAAGTATTGTTATATCCCAAGAAACGAATCTCAGAAAACATGTGCATTAAAAATTGCATCTCTTCGATTTTTCAAAAATTTCGAGTGAAATGAACTTCAAGTTAGAAATTTAGAGATGAACTTCAAGTCAAGTAAATATTCTGCTTTCTCACTCATCAACCGTTTTTTATTTGACTTAAATAACCGATCCCCAAAAATATTCAACTAAAGCAAATGCTATTAGATTATAGCGTGCAATTTCAATATTATTCCAAAACAGTTGTTCTTTCAATGGAAAATATTTCCTCTTTATGATTAGCAAGAACTTAATTGCATCAAAAATAATAATTTTCAATTACTATTGTAATGATTGTCATTTTTTTCAATTGTCATGTTTTTTTAATACATACCTGCAATAGTCTGTCGTTTTTCGACCTCTTTGAGTTCTGTCCTAGCCACTGAGGAAAAGCCACAAACTGGCCCATTCCCCCTTGACACAATTCACCCGGAATCACACATGTATACATGCCCACTTTGGGCAGAAGGGACCAGCTGTTCGTGGACCTGATGAGCTTCGAAGCCAAATCTCCATAGACAAAAGAGTCCGCGGCTTTAGAAATAGAGGCTAAAGTCGATTTGTTGCTTCCGCGGTTCATATTAGTTTGCAGGTAGTTTTCCTGCATGAAAAGAGGCATCATACTGTAATCGTAGAAAAAGTAGTTGAGTTTAATTCCTAAGGACAGTTTTCGTCTTTCTTCTCCAAAACAGAAGGAAGCTCGACAAGCATCGAAAGGCCCCATTTTCTGATCTTTTTTGGCGGCTGTTGCCTTTTCTTTCGCTGTATCATAGTTCAAAGGCTTTTGCATACAGAACCACGCTTGCAAATGGTGAATGACTTGCCTGACGTCTTGATTAGCCCCAATAATTAATTGCTCCAATGCGTTCGGTTGGATCTTGAGACCCTCTTTGAAACACATGGACATCATTGCACTTTTCAACTGTTCAATTCTTGGTCGCTGGAACCTCAAATCTAGGCAATAATTGGCCAAGCTTCTCACTTTCTGGTGTTGGCGGTCATTGCAAATACAAATTACTGGGATTTTAGATTTCTTAATTAGGTTAATTAACTCGCTCATTCCGCCTCTGTCTTCATTGCCCGCCATTCCATCAACTTCGTCCATAATCAAAACGTGTTTCAAATCAGCATCATTCGAGCCTCCAGTCACGTGATTACTAGACGTCACAACTGACTTCGATGACGTCATTAATGCGGTTAGAGTTCCTGACTTGAGAGTTTCGGCAACTACATTGTTCAATAACTTCTGAGATCTGGTGTCACTGGCATTCATACAGATCATTTCATATCCCAACTCTTTGCAAACGATCGTCGCTGTTGTAGTTTTACCTATTCCAGCCACCCCTGAAAGAAGAGCAGCTCTGAACATCAAACCATTTTCTTTGTTTGGCGGCACCCCGCGGTACGATTTATGCGTGAAAAGGGCGTGCCAATTTTGAAGCCAATAGCTCAATTTTCGTGCATTACTTTTATCGCCCTGCTGACCGATGATTTGTTTCATGGATTTCGCTTGATATTTGTCAACCCATAACAACGTGCGAGCTGGATTGTTATCAATAGGAGCATTTCGAGTGGCAGAAGCGCTAGATCCGGGCATAGCATCAAAAATGGTTGACTTTGAAGTTTCTCTCAGGGTTTCTTCTTTCACATGCTGTTTGGGTGACTTTTTCAGCTCCAGTGAAGTTTTTGGAGAATTTTTGTTCATGTCATGTGAACAAATAATTTTGACCTGCATTGGCTCGTCTTCAATTTTGGCCTTATTATCAGACAGTTTATTCGGAGAATTTGACTTCTTTTTCTCCTTACCACGCGGCAGTACTTGATCAACTTTCTGTTCACTCATTTTTGGTGGCAAAAACTCTTCCTTTACTTCTTTTTTCACGTGTTTTGAAACCAGATCCAAAAGCTGATCTTCGTCCAACTTTTCAGTTCCGCACTTTTCAGCCTTCGATGTTTTCGACTCTCCTGCGTCTCGACCAATCACAATATACGACGTTTTCGAGCTCACTGTTGTCACAACTTTTCCTCCGTGCCTCTCAATGAAAGATTTCACATCGTCTCTCTCGAAACTTTCCAAAACACCCGTCAGAACGAAAGACTTCCCGACTAAACAATCATCCGGTCCACTGGGCAATTTCTTAGAACCTACATTTTGGGGTCCCTGACGGTTCTGAAAGGCGAAATAGGCTGCTCGGCTACTGCTCTTCTTCTCAGAATGATCGGCCTTATCGCCTTTATTTGAAACATCCTGAGTTTTGGGAGTTTTGGTAATGACTGAGGGAGTTTTTTCCAAGGTTGGGGTTTTTGTCAAGAATGGCGTTTTGGTCAACGTTGGAGTTTTTGTCAACTGTTTTGAGCTTACAGAAGTTTCTGAGCTCTCTTTCTTTTCGGCTTTTCCTAGAGTTGCCACCATATTCGATGTAACTGCACTGCTGTCAACGTTAGCTGTTGGAGGCGATTTGTTCTCTCCTACTTTCTCAACAGATGTCTGTTTTTTCGGACTTGATTTTACTTTCTTAGAAACATTAACTTGGGCTTCATCGTACTTCAATGACAACATAGGATCATTGTCCAACTGAACCAAAGCTTCTTTAAATTTGGGATTCCTATGGACTTCAGCGTCGATAGGTAGGTTTTTCTTGGGACTAACTTGCTTAGCTTCACTTCTATCGCTCTTCGAAACTTCATGGGAGCTTTTGAAATCACCTTTATTCGAGCTTGTATTCGCATTTTTGCTTTTGGTAGATCCCTTTTTGAAATCATCTATTGGTTTCTTGGCCTGCTTGACCGTCGTTGATCCGAAAAAGTCATCAGCTGTAGTCAATTGCACAGATTTCTTCGGCGATGCGCCTTTGGACGTGACTCCACTAGAGCCCACATCTTGGTGTTGCTTTTTCGGAGCTGGGTTGTCATCTGCGTTTTCGTCATCAGAGTCTAACATAATCACTCGTTTCTTCTTTGTTTTAGACTTCGATGAGCTACTTGATTCATCGCTGCTTGACGTTGGAGGAGCTTTCGGCCTGCCAAAAAAGTCCCTAATATCTTCTAATCTCTGCATTGTTTAATTTCTCATCCTTTCAACATTATTTCTAAAATCAATATGAAACTTAATCCATTTTCTTCAAAGTCACATCTTAAACTTAGGTATTCCATTGAAAGGCTATTTTATACAACTAGGAAAACCCATACAAAACTTCGACGCTAAGAAATGAATTTCTGTTCTTATACGCGACGAAATAGTCATACAGATAAGGAGAGACAGCTAAACCGAAGACACATAAAATGATAGCATTTTTTAATATTGACAACAGTAGCTAGCGGCTGTAAGAAAGTTTAAACATCCCATTCAACTCAAGAACTCAAATATTTCGATAAGTTTTTCGTAATTACCGAGCAGCCACTATATCAACAAAACGTGGGTAACCGCCCATTGAACCGAAAACACAAAAATACCATAGGAAACTGTTGTCATATAAGACTTTGAGCTATTAAGTTGAAAAACTTTTAACTTTGACACCACAACCGACTAACATCATAACTCAATTGTTCCCCTTCAAACCACACAAAATAAGTCGACAAAGCCAACAAAACATAAGCCAAAACTATTCAGGTCGAATAACAAGTTACAGACGTAAATCATCAACACTTGTAGTTACAATGAAATTAACTGAAAGCACAAGAAAAAACCATGTGGCAGCTAAGTCGACAAAACATGAACAGACGAACAAACGAAAGTGCTACAATTCAATTTCAGTTTCGCATATACTGAACAAAACAAGGTCGGGAGGTGACTCGAAACCCAAATTTTAGGGTGCTAAGGAAACCGCTAGACCAAATGGGAAGAAACTTGGAAATTGTTTAACTTCAATAAAAAAGCAAGTTCAATTTTCTTTCACAGATTTGTAAGACGATCTGTTTACTGGAAAAAAAGTCAACATCCCGGTTACAAGCCACTTGCTTTTAAAGTATAAACAATATTCAGGTAGCAGTCCGCGCCATGATAACGTAATTTCCTGGTCAAAACCTTCCAAAAAAGCCCAAAACAGCTCTTAAAAGAGTCCAACAAAACACTCAAAGCTACAGGAAAAAAATTACTGCTAAATACGCTTCCTAACGGAAATCTTACTTTTGCCTGATTGATTACATTTCAACCTAGTTTTATCAATACTCGCTTTAAATTCTAGGTTTTCGTAGTTTCAGCATATATTTTTACAGTGAAAAAGTAACAGGGCAAGCTTCATCTATGTGCACAAAAACAGTTTCAGTAAAACTGTTGCTAATTACATTTTTCAACTCAAAAAGTGCTCACTAAAAAGATTCTCTTTGCTACAAGGAAATGATCTGCTCACCACACAATAGACCTTTAGTCTTATTTTACGACATCCGACCCTATAATCTTTCTTAAGGCCAAAACTATCTGATCCCAAATATTTATAGCAAATTAAATCATTTAAGCAGATTCCTGTTAGATATTCCTGATCCAAAGTTTTGAAGCAATGAAACAAACCAATTTAGTACCAATTAAAACTAGCTATTCCACTGAGAATTTTTGAAATTAAATTACAGTGGTAACAGAAACAGCAGGTTACTGTGCAAGAAGTCGACAAGTTCCAAAAAATTAACAAGAACAATCAAATGAAATTTTTAAAAACTTTGTTGAAGAGGGCTAAAAGGATTTATTTGATTCATTCGGCAATTTTATGTTTTCTCTATCACTCGACGCTAATGACGTTTTTTTGCGGTAAAAGATTTAGCGCGTGAAAAAATCACGCTCTTATCGAAAGAGCAATATTTCGTGCCATTTCTGCAATCGATCTGGAAATACTTACATTAAACAGTTTCGCTTGAAAAACTCGACCGGCTTGAAAAGTAATACGACTAAATAAAACATGAAAACAAAAAGCACGCTTAAGTATCTTAATAACTTTAGATAACACTTTAAAAAAGACTGCGATTAGTTATAATGGAGCCGATGAAATTTTTGCTGAATTTATGAAATGAAGCAATTTGGCCCTAACTTGATAACGAACGGTGTGCTGAAGCTGCTCTTTTAGGCTCAAGCTGATGCTGGAATGCGGGGTTCGACAGAAATCCATAACTCCCCAAGTTTAGGTGCTGATGGTTTCGTTCTCCGTCAATTTCAAAAGATGTTTGTAGCAAATTTACAATTTGAAATATTATACCAGAGACTAACTGTATTCGGTGGGTATTTTCATCATGGTGGACGGCTCGAATGATGGAAAAAGTTCAGCAAATCAGAATCTTTGGCCATTCCTATTCGCTTAATAATTTTTGCTTAAAAACTAAGTCAAATTTAGCAGAAAAAGAATTTTAGAAGTACAGCCAATTGTTGTTATACAATTCGTCCAGATATGGAATACATTTATCGTTTTTTCAATTTTATAGCTTAATCTTTTATAGCTTAATTTTTCTCAATGAAATTTCATTTGTCTGTTTTTTTTGCAATCGGTCAATAATAACGTTAGTGGCCTGGATTTATTTTTTGAACACTCAAATTTGATTGTTTGAAAATAACTTGAAAGTTGTTTCTATCATTCGATCCCTCCATCACGAGGGACTCCACCATAATGTTCACCAAAAGTAACGATTCTCATGATGGAGGGACCAAATGATAAAAGAAAACTTGAACAAATCAGAATCATTAGACGTTCCTATTGGCTAAATATCTGTTACACAAACTGAAGCCATTATTAACAAAAAATGACTTAGCAGCACAACAAAGTTTTGCTGTACAATTCGTGCAGGTATACAATAAAATGTTTGTTTCATTTTCAGTTTCTTAAAATCGGTTTCAGGTTTTTTCCATTAGCCGACTTCGATTTTGCAAAATTTGGAAATTCATTAATCTGCTCCTTCTCAAAATAGTCAATATTGATTCTAATCGCCTGGATTTAGAGGAGCGCCACCACAAAATAGTTTTGCGTTATTGGAACATTATGACAGAAGCGTAGCAATAAGCAGAATGGTCCAAGAGCAGACAGGGTCTAATAAAAGAAAAAATTTGATTATTATCGGCTATTCGCCAAAAACAACTACTAAAATTGGCAATACTACAGGTGAAATGAATAAATTATACACTGTTTGGGTAATTGCATCAATTTTAACCTACTCATTTATTCACAATTTAATCTTTTCATTGGTAATATTGAAAACTCTTATACTCGTTTTGATCGATTAGCTCGTTTAATTCAATTTCGTCTGTTTTTCTTCTCTTTTTGCTTTTCTGCTCTTAGAATATTTCTGCTTTTCCTGCTCATTAACCCGTTACCTGTCCCGACAAGCTGAAATGAAAGATTTCACGAATCCGAAATCTTTCATTGTTCCGACTTTCGAAGAAAAAGCGGATTATTTTTGCTTCGGCTGTTGTTTTTTATTCAGCCAATTTTCGACTTTTATACTGAGAGTTTTTGTTTAAAACTGTTTACATCATCTGATTTTTGTCCGAAGCTCAAATATTTAAACAAATTTCACCTGTGATCTTTTTCCTTTAAGCTCGGGGGGTTTGAAAGTTTGGGATAATTAACCCGCAATATATTGCGTTCTTATAATACGGGTACGTGACAGATTAATGTGTTCCAAATTGAATAGAGGCAAATCATTAGTTCTTATTATTAGGATTCGAGAAAATGAATACATCACTTTGCAGTTTACATTATCGAGTGGGGGATCAATTGAAGACAACAAAAATGAAAAAAAAAAATAAACTTTTTTTGATAATGTCAATTTTTCTGACGCAAAAGTTTTTAATTGGCCTCATGCTGCCGTCGAAACATTCAGGAATTTGCACTGATTTACGAGCAGTCCTGTCTAAATTAAGGATACTTTGAAAACAACTTGAACAAAAGTGGTTGCATTAAATTCGATCTCATACACCAAATCTCCAATTAAGACGTATGTCGGTCGCTCTGGCATGCAAGTTGATTCCATGTACATTGTACGTGGATTTCGAGTGATCACAACAAGTTCCACTAAATTTCTAAAATACTTTGAAACTTAATGCAGCCTGGCGACAAAGAATTCAAAAATGAACAGTTAAAACTTGGCAACTCTTCTTCATTTGTGACCATATCAAGACAAAGCCTTGAACGTTCCAACTGCCCTTCAATCTATCTCATTTTTTAGATTTAACAGCGAGGCAAACCGGAGATTCGCATTATTGCAATCCATTACAAAAAAGTATCTAAAGCTAGCCGACAAAAATGAGACAAAGTCACGAAGTCAGCAAAAATTTAATCTATTAAAATTTTCATAGCCCAATTTGTCTCGACTGAAGTTCTTTGCGAAGAAAACATGTCAAGACGTCACAGCCTAAAAAGACTTAATGAGTATCGACCAAAACAGGTAACATTTCGAAACTTTTAGAGTTCAAGCCAAGACTTTAAAAAGGCTTTAAATTATTATGCCCCATTCAAACCATCTGACCTAGTTATTCGCAGTGGAAAAAAAAAGATAGTCCCTGAAAAAAATTGAGGTCGCCCGATGACTCGACAGGTTGATAACAAAAGCTTGTTTTCAAGAAGAACAATGATGTGGAGTCGAAGCTTTAATTTAGGGTCGTCCACAGAAATAGCTCTGAACAAATCTTTTGAAGCTTAAGACTGGGTATATCAAAATAAATTCAACTGTAGTATTACTACCACAAACTAAAAGCATGAACACGCATGCATCTTATATTACAGAATAACACTTTGGTGTCCTTGTCAACTCTAACGTCGACATCCAGAATTTGGAACAGAAACTGGCTTTCGATATCCGAGTGATACATCTGCGCCATAGGTTCCACCTGGAACATGCTTTTCCAGCCTCTCACTTTGAACCCACTGACAATTGGATAGTTTAGAGAGGCCAGATGACTGTCGAGGTGGTGCAGTTTAGCGCAGAGATGTTTGTCTTCAACCTTCAGAAGGGTTTTGACCTCATCGAATTCTGCTACGAGTTGGTGACCCGAGAACCTGGCGATGAATGGGCTTCCCATTATGACCAGAAACGCCGATATAACATCTTCTTTCAGCTCGCTCATAAGAATTTCTACTGCTTTGATTTGCTTAGCCATTAACGAAATGTT